TCTTATAAAAGGTTAAATAAAACAAAAATATTGGTGGTAATTTTTGACTGTAACTTTACAAACGGCAGCCCATAGTTTTCTGGTCATATTTATCATATTTGTATATTTTCAGATGTTTTCTCTTGTTTTACAGATCTGATTGTAAAGCTGTGTCTACTTCTTTTATTTTATTGATTTGATTCAGTTTTAATATGATGAACTTTACAGTTTATAAAACATTTTGTGATTTTTTTTTCTTAGTCAGATCACATGGGTTTTTTATCATTACGTTTTTGTTTTTGTTTGTTCTGTAAAATAACTTTACGTGATTGTCTAAACCCTTGTTGACAGCTGCGTGACAAAGAAATCACTCCAGTTTCATCTTTTAGTTTCGGTTGTGTAATTTCTAAAGCTGTTTGTCAGATGATGAACTCTGTGGTTTTTCAACACATCAGAACATAAAAATCATCAGAAATAAATTTGTCTGACTTTGTTGTTCTGCCTCAACAAACAAACAAACAAACAAAGACTTTTTAGAAGTGTTTATTTTCTGTATGAATGATTAATGGGAGCCAAATGAGATCAAACGTCAGATCTGTTTTCAGGAAGTAATTTAGATAAATGCCTTTCTTCATCAGAAATTTCCTGAGAAAACTCATCTGTCATCAGCCAATCAGAGGGCTGGATGATGACATCACAGGCCTGGTTATCTCCCTCCTGTTGGCTGCATGACAATGAGCTGCAGGAGGAACAGGTTGGACGTTTCTGTGTCGCAGAGAACGGAACTTTTCAGAAACTGCCGGCGTGACTCGGCGCTCGGTGTCCGTAATCTGTGGAAAAACATCCGGGATGAGGTTAGGATGACGTGTTGGGTGGTGTTTACCTAACAGGGAGGTGCAGATGATCAAAGCAAACACCTGAGAGCTGCAGGAGCGTCACGCTCGGCTTTATTTGAATACGTTTCTTTGCTCAGCCTGAACTTTCCTGATTTCCATGTGTCCGGGTCACGAGGCCCGGAGGCTGAAAACAGGCCGGGCAGGTCGACGTGTTTCAGCTGCAGGAGCTGAACGTAAACTTGAGGCTGACGTCTGGACCGATGTAGGCCAGAGTCTGATGTGATGACACAGGAGGCGGTGGCTCCTTTAAATCCTACAATTAAAGATTAAATAAACACAAATTACTCCAGAACTCATTCATCTCATTCTGACGCCTTAGAGTACAGAAATATTGATTCTTCCTCAGAGTAAAGATGAAGCAACAGCTGTCAAATGTAACAATAAACCCAACCTGCTTCTTGTCTGGAGAGGTACAAGTCTAAATAAATATATCCAAACTAACGTATGTGGTGCCGTTTGTAAAGTTACAGTCAAAAATTACCACCAATATTTTTGTTTTATTTAACCTTTTATAAGAAAAAAAAGAACAGATTTATTTTTCAAAGTCAGTTTTTC